GCATAAGAAAAAATCACAGTGATGTTATATTTGCTACAATAATCTCAAATAATGAGTCTCTTACACACGTTAATTTAGCCCATTTCCACTTAAATAATGAGACAAATGTGTTTTATGCATTTAAATTTATTCTCCACTTCAGAAAGGAGACCAAAATCTGAACCAATCACTTAGTAAAAAGTAATATAGTCACTAGTTTAAAAACAGAGATTTTCTTATTTTTAAATATGTTAATTTAATGAAAGAAAACAAATAATTAAACTACTTGTTTTTAAAGAAAACAAATAGTTTCACCCAAAATTCATTATTACTGCTAGTGAAGTGAATGATTGAAGGCATATTTAGTGGTTTAGTGTTCACAAAGGGTGAACATTGTTACGTTGTTATGCAGCTAATCATGGAAAGTGACTGCGGCTGTCTCTCTCTCCCCGATTACATAAATCTACGCCACTACTTCCAATATCTTTGTCTTGTTTGTGTGCAGAGTGAAAATTAAGAGTGGGTGAGAGATGATCTCCTCACCAACCAATATGAGAACAGGAGAGGAGAAGAAACTGGAAATAGAGAAAGAGAAAGAGAAAGAGGTGGTGGATACTGAATGGGATGAGAACGGGAAAATTCAGTCATGGAAAGAGCAAATAACAGTGAGAGGATTAGTGGTGAGCTTGGTACTTGGAATCATGTACAGCATAATAGCCATGAAGCTGAATCTCTCAGCCGGAATAGTTCCTAATTTCAATATCTCTGCTGCTCTCCTTGCATACTTGTTTGTCAGATGCTGGAACAAAGTGCTCCACAAGGCTGGTTTTGTGTCCAAACCCTTCACCCGTCAAGAAAACACCATAATACAAACTTGTGCTGTCTCATGCTACAGCATTGCCGTTCACGGTACATGTTAATTGCTTTCAAAGCATCAGATCCATCCATACATGTAAATTTGCACATATTTTACCCTATACAAGTATGTGTTATTGGTGTTGCAGGAGGATTTGCTTCTTATCTTTTGGGATTAAACAGGAAGACATATGAGTTGACTGGAGTGGGGACTGAGGGTAACAATCCAAACACTGTCAGAGATCCTGGATTTGGTTGGATGACTGCCTTCCTCTTTGTGGTTTGCTTTGTTGGCCTCTTTATCCTCATTCCACTCAGAAAGGTACCGTGCTCCTAACACCACACTTTCATACCACTAAAATCCTATCTATATATTGTCACATGTGCCCAACACTGGGATTTCTTTCTTCCTTCTACAGTGTCATGTTGAACAAAATTGCACAAAGTCAATCACTAAACAGAGTTCAGTTTATTTTGGAAACACTGTTTTTGTATGAAGCAAATGGTCAGAAACTACCTCACTTAGCAGAAACTATGGATAATAAAAGCGAAAATCAGAAAATTAATTAATTATCCAAGAAATCTTAGTGTTAGTAATCCTCATAATGACTGACACTTATTTCTTCTTGAGCAGATCATGATAGTTGATCTCAAATTGACGTTCCCCAGTGGCTTGGCAACAGCTGTTCTCATTAACGGTTTCCACAGACAAGGGGACAAAATGGCCAAGTAGACATCCTATTTATTTAGTCATCAATTTTTTCTTGTTTTTTTTAATAATGATAAGAGTTGGATTTTAAATTTAAATCAATCCTACAAGTTTGTTAGTTAAGGTTTACCTTTTATATATTATAAATTTTTTTTATCATCATAAATTTTGTTAATATAGGAGTTTAATCCAAAATTATAATACCATATTAAAAGTAAAATTTAAATCTGATCACTCTTACAAAATTGATAAAATTAAAATTGATTTATAAGATGAAATTTAAATCATTTGTATATTATAAAATTGTTCTAGTCTAAGCAATATGAAATTTTTAACATGTTATAAGAAAACTTCATAGTAGTATAAATTTGTTTGCTGAATTTCCGATTTTGCTACTGTTTAACACTTAAAATTGGAGTTATAACAGCCTTTCGGATTGAGGTAGTCATAAGACATCATCCACTCATACTTTTTCGGATTAAGAGAAATTCACTCTACTCTACTCTACTTGGGTGAATTATTATGTAGATACCCGTGAAAAGACTAAACGTAAATTTTCAACTGTGACAAACAGCTAAAAAAACTGTCTGCGAAAATGATAAAGGTGTAATGTAGAGAATGATTGAGATGGTTTCGTTGTATTGCAGGAAGCAAGTTAGCGGGTTCTTGAAGTATTTTTCAATGAGTTTTTTGTGGGGTTTTTTCAAATGGTTCTTCTCAGGGACACAGGGCTGCGGATTCGCACAGTTTCCTACCTTTGGATTGCAAGCTTGGAAGCAAACGTATGATCTTAAGTTTAAGGAAGTAGTAATATTGGTGGCGTGGCATTGTTGTTGCACGCGTTACTAATCTAATCTAGTTTTGTTTGAATTTACAGATTCTATTTTGATTTTAACATGACATATGTGGGGGCAGGAATGATTTGCCCACACATGGTGAATCTGTCTCTGCTGCTGGGAGCAGTTCTCTCCTTTGGACTGATATGGCCACTCATCGAACTGCGTAAGGGGCAATGGTTTCCTACCGATTTAGAAGAGAGTAACATGAAGGCGTTGTACGGCTACAAGGTCTTTCTAACAGTTTCTCTCATCCTGGGTGATGGCGTATACAACTTCGTCAAGATTCTAGTTTCCTCATTCCTCAGCGTACTTCAAAAAATTAAGAACCGTGAAAATAGTAAGACAAGTTACCACTCTCACATTAATTTGCGTCACTTTATAACAACAAAAAGGAAGGGAAATATACACACACATAATAGAGTAATTATAGATTAACACAGATTTCTTTTTAATATTTTGATACAATACTGTTTTATTAAGTTCAAAATAAATAAATAATAAACCAATAAAAAAGAATCATACTTGTTAAAATATTTTTTAAGAATTTATGTTAAAATATTATATATATTCTGAATCTAACGTGCAGGGGGCATAGATGAGGAGGGAAACAATAACGGAGAAGAGCTTAAACAAAAGGAAGTGTTTCTGAGGGACAACATTTCAATGTGGATTGGAAGCGGCGGATACATGGTGTTGTCAGTGGTTTCCGTAGTGGTAATCCCATTAATGTTTCCTCAGCTGAAGTGGTACTATGTGGTGGTTGCTTACATTCTGGCCCCATCCCTGGCCTTCTGCAACGCCTACGGAACGGGTCTCACCGACATGAACATGGCCCACAACTACGGGAAAGTGGCGCTCTTCGTGGTGGCAGCCATGAGCGGGAGAGAGAACGGCGTGGTGGCTGGACTGGTAGGTTGCGGTCTGGTGAAATCGGTAGTGTCTGTGGCATGCACTCTGATGCAGGATTTCAAAACGGCGTATTACACGCGCAGTTCTCCGAAGGCCATGTTCATAGGACAGTTGATTGGCACTGCGTTGGGGTGCGTGATAGCTCCATTGAGTTTCTTTCTCTTCTATAAGGCCTTCGACGTGGGGAACCCGCATGGGGAGTTCAAGGCTCCCTACGCGCTTATTTACCGAAACATGGCGGTGCTAGGCGTGGAGGGTTTCTCAGCGCTGCCTCAACACTGCCTGCAAATGTGCTACGGGTTCTTTGGGTTGGCGGTGGTGGTGAACATGGTCAGGGACTTCTTCCCAAAGAAGATTGGACAGTGGATGCCATTGCCCATGGTGATGGCGATACCCTTTCTAGTTGGGGCCTACTTCGCCATCGACATGTGCCTTGGGAGTTTGGTGGTTTATGTGTGGCACAAGGCTAATGCTAACAGAGCAGAGGCCATGCTTCCTGCGACTGCCTCTGGGCTCATTTGTGGGGAAGGCCTCTGGGCCCTTCCCGCTTCCATTCTCGCTCTTGCCAAGATTCACCCTCCTATCTGCATGAATTTTTTTCCTTCTTAGACCACCCTTACTCCTTCATCTTTTCTCTCAAAAACCAAATAATCTTCCAACTCAATTAAAATATATTATTATATAATGTGTAACATACAATTCCACGCCTACACTTATTTTATACTTTTACATCTTATTTTATGTTGAATAAATCAGTATAATTGTTAGTTAATTTTATATATGAATTAATATGTGTCAATTGTAATTGTAAGACATCCAAACATTATGCTAAGGAAATAAATTAGGTTAAACTCAAACGAAGACGGATAGATTGGTTTTAAATCTCAAGGTTTCAAAAATGGATTTCAGATATTTTTATGAATCTCGAAAAAATAGTTGGATTGAGATGTAATGTTAAGTATTAAATTAAGCGTAAAGGAAAGAGAAGAAATACAATACACAATTTTTTATCAGTTCGATTTTACACGAAACTATATTAAGTTCCGGCAACCTGAACTGGATTTTAACTAAAATATAACAAAAGTTATTACAAGCATACCTTGATAACCTAGACTCTAAACATATTCAAAAACTTGGAAAAGTATTCAAGAATTACAAGACTCTAAACACATTCAAAAACTTGGAAAAGTATTCAAGAATTACAAAGAAATGGAAATGCTACCTACAGTCACCTCAAAACTCACAACAGTGGTAAAATACAACAGATTGAATGAATTACAAACAAAAATCTAGAAAGACATGAATTTTAAATGGAATTTACAATCAAAACCACCCATAGCCAATGAGTAAACACTTGATCTTTGATCTTCTTGAAAATCTTTATTAGAGCAGTTTGAACACTCTCAAAATCTCTCTCATTCTCGCTCATATAGGTCTTCTCACTAGTGCAGTCAGGGGAAACGACAACGGTTATTTTAGCTGATAGGCATCAGTTCCTGAACCGAGGCATATTCAGTCGAGGTAAAAAGTGGTAGACTTTATGCCTAATGGTAGGATTATGCCTCGGTTCAAAATTAACCGAAGTCGTTTCTCCCCCTCTACTGCCTCGGTTGGAGCCTGAACCGAGGCAGTAGGGTCCTTTTTTTTATTTTGTTTCTTCTTCTTTAGCCCGTCATATTGAATATCTGGAATCTCCTCCAATTGTTCACCTACTCTGACAAAATCTCCTCCAATTGCCTCTGCTCAATCACCAACTTCAATCTCCACACGTCGTTCTTAACCGTTGGCAACACTTCAAGCGCCGACCCATTTGACAAATTCTCAACATAATCACACGCTACAAACTTACTTCGAAGACCTCCCACTCCTTCTTCAACTCCAACATTGTCACAACAACGTTTTTGCTCGTCCTTCAACAGAAGAAGATAATAGAAAAGACCATAGCTTAACCTCTCTTGCTCTGGCAAAGGTTCTGAAGCATGACCCTGGCCGAAAATACCATAACTAGGGTAATGTTGAAGCACTTGAGCCACAGTCTTGAGAGCTTTGAACTGCAAAATGGCTCCGCAGTCACTCATAACCTGAATAGTATGATGACACTCTTTAATGGTACCCTTCATGGAACAATTCCCCATTTGCTTGATTTTCAGTGAACCTTTCAATGTTCAATGTTGAATGTTTCTCCACTCTCTTTCAATCTCTCTTAACACTGAACCAAACAAACCAAATGGCTTTGCCACCACCGTTAACACTAAACGTCGTCGAATCAGACACGGACAGCGTGTTCCCAACCGTCGCTTCGAGTTCCCTAACGACCCCGTCCCCGCGTCGTTCGTCTCTGTTACAGAGCCTCAGTCCCAGCATTCTCATCATCGTCACGGTCCTCGCCGTCACCATTATTGTTTCTCTCGCGCTCTGCTTCCTCCTCCGCCACCTCAATCGCCGCTGCCTCCGCCGCTTCTCCTCCTCCTCCGCCGCTTCTCCTCCTCCTCCGCCGCGCCCTCCGCATCTGCCTCCGCCACGCCCATATTCTCTTCCAACCGCCGCATCTTACCAGAGATTGTCCACTCCTCGTCCACCGCTGTCGTCGCTGCCTCAATCATCGACACGCTGCCGCTATTCACGTTCTCGTCCGTCACGCGCCGCTCTTCCTCCGCCGACGCCGACTGCGCGGTCTACCTCTCCAAGTTCCACCACCACGACCTCCTCCGCCTTCTCCCTCTATGCTGCCACGTCTTCCACGCCGAGTGCATCGACACCTGGCTCTAGTCCCCATTGTTAAGCCTCGAAGAAGAAAAGAGCACGCGGACTTTAGAATCATTGGATTTCTTGGCAGATTTGGGGTTGGCAGTGGTGTGGTTTAGTTGTGGGAGGAACCTGGGTGACCTTCGTGGGGTGAGGAAGAAGCAACAATGGAGGGCGAGAAGAAATGAGTAATGGAACTAGCAACACAATAGTAATGGAAGCAGCAAAGTGAGCCGACGAAGAAGAAAAGAGCACGCGATGAAGAGAAATGAGCAGTAGGGTGAAAATTTGAATAGCCGAGCTCTATTACCTCAGTTCCACCTCTGACCGAGGCATAAACACCCTTCTACACCAGTTCTGTAGAAATCGATGTCGTAGGTCAAAGTAGGTGAGGTGTAGTGCAGGTCAGGTGACAGTGAAAAAGGTAGGATTTGACAGACTCTTAGGCCTCGGTTCTGCACTAACCGAGGCATAAACCTATTTCCACACCGGTTTTGTTTAGAACCGAAGCACTAGATCACGTGTCAGGCCAAAACGCAGTTTTGAGTTAAAAAGTCTATTTTTTACTAGTGTCTCGCTCATATAGGTCTTCTAGGTCATATAGGATAGAAAATTGTGATGAAATGTTTAATCAAGCTAGGAATATATTCCATTCTTTGGTAAAGACATAGGTGCATTAACATACCTAGCTTGAAAACAAGAAATTGATAAAATAAATCCTTGGTTTTATAGAGAGAGTGAATCTTATGTCCTTAGCATATATCTCTCTAAGTTAGAAGAGCATGCAAGTGAGTGGTGGGATGAAAACAATATCATGTTAGGAAAGGTAGAAAGTCCTCCATTCGTGATTGATATGATTTAAAAACTTGCATGAGAAGAAAGTTTTTGCCTTCAAACATTAAAAGAAACCTAGAACTAATTAGAGATTGCATTGATGATGGAAAATTATTTCTTGAGAGTTAAATGATCATGAGTTTCTTCGTGGAGAACTAGAATTTGGGGCAAGACTTAAAGAACTCAAGGATAAGAAAAAAGAAAGAGAGATTGAGAGAAAAGAAGAGGAAGAAAGGAGAGAAGAAGAGAAGAGAGAGAAGAAAAAGAGAAAAGAGAAGAGGAAGATAGAAGAAGAAAGGAGAGAAGAAAGGAATAAGAGAGGAAGAAAGAAAAGAAGAGAGAAGAGAAGAGGATAAGAAAAGAGAAGAAGAAAAGAAGAGAGAAGAGCAAGGAGAAGAAAGAAAAGGAGAAATTGCTAATGGCAAATCCTATTCTTTCAAAGACTATGAAACCTAAAAGGGAAGGTTTCCAATTCTTTACTTCTTTTCCAATAATTGTTTATTCTTCAACTATTAATTTCTCTTGTAAACCAATTGTCATTCCATATTCTATGCAAGCCTTTTCAAAATATGGCAATTCAAATTTTGAGTTATTCTTATCTTTAAGGAAAGAAATAACTCAAGACAAAAGTGAATTTGGACTTCTAAAATTTCCAAAGACTATAAAACAAAATATTAGAAGTCCTTATTTCCTTTTATAGAAAATTTCTTTCTTGGATCAATATTAATTGAATATATATTTGATGTGTATTGCAGATTCGTGTTTGATCTAGGAGGAAGAAAAATAGATCTAAAAGAATAAGGCCACTACAAGATGGCCATGCTCCCAAGACTGTGTGGATCTTCTTCATAAGGCGATTGCCAGATTTGAGGACAAATCTTTTTTCTAAGAGGGAGGGTATGATGCAATCCTTCTTGATGTACCTTCCTTAATGTTTTCCTTTCGTATTTTTATATTTTATTGTATATGTGTATAAGCTTGCAAGGAGCATGGGTTACTATAAATACCCAACTTCTCTCTTGTATTTGACACTTTTGAGATTAATTAGAATTGAGTAAGAAACTATTCTCTCTTGAAAGTCAAAGGCTAGAGAGTCCAAAGACTTCCTCTAGCCACCTTCCAAGCACACTCTCACTTCCATTTTCCAATTTCCACCGTGTTTTTCTCTCCCATCACCATTACTCCAATCCGCTTCAGCACAGTGGCGTCAACACTCCTTGGCCCGCGTCCTCCTTTGTCTTGCGCACCGCTTTGCCACATCTTCATTTCTCTTTCTCACACATCAGATCCACATAGGCAGAACCACGTTCCATTTCTCTCTCTCAAGAGAGAGAGAGTTCTTCCACTGTAAGTTTTGTTTTCATCACAAATTCGACATTTAACCTCGTTTTCAGACATAGAACCTCATCTTCACCGAACAGTTCTTCGATCTATGGCCTCCGCCAGGGGTTCCTTCATCTTTCTTCATTTTCTTTGATTTTAGTCGATTAAAACCAATTTTGAATCGAATAAACGTTTTTTCCACCGATTAAACTTTGATTTACACTGATCAATCGGTCCAGAATAGGTTTCCTTCTTCTTCTAGGGTTTCTATCGAGTTTAATCTTTCGTTTCTTGTTCTTCTTCGACTTTTTTTGTCATTTCCAGTGTGTTCATACTCTTTGGAGGAAGCTTCCAAGATTCGCGTCGCGCCTACACTCCTCTTCTTGGAGCGCTCTTCCATTGTACTTATAATAAAACATAAAACATTTTCATCTAGACAAAAAATTATATGTTTGTAAGACATGAGGAAGTGTAAAAACACAATCATAATGTTAGAAAAAGTATATTCAATAACAAGAGGATTAATAATCTACATATTCATCATCAGAATGGTCTTTGCTCATCATTCTGCTGCTTTGAAGGTGGTTGGACTGGTGTGGGCTGGATTGATGTGAGTTGCTCTGGGACGGTGGGTGATGGAGAAGATCGTAGCCGGATTGAAGGGACGGTCGACTGAAGTGGTGAAGCTTCGGGCAATAATGTCATGACCAGTTGTTTAAAGTTTGTAAACTCATCTCTCAATTTGTAGTACCTAGTCACGTTGTTCTAGTCGCTGCATATGAGGATTGTTAAAGACAAAATCGTCTATGTGAAACAAACGATCTCATGTTTTGAAATTTAGTCAAATAACATTAAAATGGGTCAACATATGAAAATAACCTAGGATGAAAACACAAGACCTAGAGCCAAAATTCCAAAACACACATGTTGATAGGGGGAGCTATGTGAAAGCTAAAACCATATATATCCCATTTTTTTTATAATGGCAACAACAGAAATGTTTTAATAGTTTCTTTCCCACATTAAGCAAAGTTGTTGTTTATATATTTGATTGTGCTTGAACTATATGTTATGCATATTCATCATGTTTATATCTGTGATATGTGATTATATTTGTGATATTCATTGGTTAAATATTGATAAAACTCTTTGCACCTTGTATATCTGGATGAATAAATTGTTTACACATTTTGTAAAATCTGTTTCAATTCATCTGATATCAGAACATGATTAATTGTGGCAAACTGCTAGTTTTAACTGAATACATTATGTGGATAATCGATTAAAACCCGTGTCTTTGCATGTACTTGATTATTGAGTGTATTGATGATTTTTTGGATGAAAAAGTTTTCAAATTTGTTTAAGTGTGATACTTAACCGATTACACTCTTTTCTTAATCGGTTAAAACACGTGTGCATTGAGAACTCGTTTTTTGATAAATCATAACTACCTTAACGTTCATATTTTTATATGTTATGACTTGCATTCATTACTTAATCGATTACATGCTATGCTTAATCTCTTAAATGCGTTAAATGTAATTCTGTTACAGTAGTATTAATTGTTTAACCGATTACATGAATAACGTAATCGGTTATTTTTCGTCAGTATTGTCATTTCTATAAATTGACGCATAACTCTTTGCATTAAATAACTTTTTGAATCATAACTTTCATATTTGATACAGTTTGTTAAGTGATTAATTGCAAGAGTGTCTGTTCTCCAAGAATCAAGAAGAATTTCATTTGGAAAGAAATCAATTCAAGGATTCTTGAAGAGTTGTTGAACTTTCAAACTCTGATCAATCTGCACTGTTAGGTGTTCTACTAGAAAATCAAAACTGTTTGCAATCATTTGTGATTGTAGTTTCCCTGTTGATGCTGGCCAGGAAGATAACTTATGGAGTTTTGGTTACTTTGTGTGTGGTATCTCAAAGGGGTTGTGATACGCTGTCATTAAAGCTATCAAATTAATACTACTTTTCAAGGCAACTTTAGTATTGCCAAGTAGTATTTAAGAAAGTAGATAGGGTTAAAGTAACCCTGAGTCGTCTCCCAATGAATATGGAATTGCTTTTCAATATTTGACTCTTATGAAGGCTATGCAATGCTCAAGAATAAAAGTGATGTTTGGAGAATGTATGAAGAACAAATAAGAAACTTAGAAACAATTATGATGAAATAGGCTAATTCCACTACTTTCCCAAGATAGATTCATCATCGGTTATCCACA